GGTGTCGAATCGTACGGTGTCGAATAATTTGGTGTCGAATAAATCTGTGTCGAATCGAGCGGTGTCGAATCGTACTGTGGTCAATAGAGTACCACCCATGTATTCTGATAGTCATAGTTTTGCTCTTTTTATAAAAAGATGTAATATTGTTTTATAAAATATAAAATAATGTATTGTTCTACAAAGTGTATATTTACATATATTTACATATATTTACATATATAATATATTAAAAACTTAAAAAACAATAATATGTGTATGTTATTTTCGTAAAAATAATTTAAAAATGTGTAATTTGCTTGTAATAAATGACATATTATCGTGTAAAATTTTGGAAGCTCGACGTTTTCTTACGAGAACAAAATATTAGGGTTTTAATATTTTTAAGAATACTGCAATATGACAAACTATATTATACCATGGTCATCAAAACATTTCATATTGCAGCTTTTTTGAACATTAATATTATTATTCTATTCTCCTGTGAAAACATAGAACTTCCAAACTTTTAGACGATAATATGTCGTTTATTACACGCAACAAATTATACATTTAAAACGTGTTAATTTAATGACTTGAATCAACACGTATTAAGCGTGTTCCAATTTTAAACACTAAAAAACGTATTAAAAGTGACTTCAATAAAAACACACGTCAAGTGTGTTAAATTAACACACTTGGATTTGCAGTGCGGTTACGACGATCTGTGGCAGGCCGTCGAAATGCAGCCTTAGGTTTCGCCAGAACAAAGGTCACAACTACATTCTCACAGTCCTTAATGTGTTGAGCAAATACGCGTAAGCGTTGCTGCTTAAGAGCAAAACGCAACCGTCTTAGCCAAAGGTTACACTTTGAACTGGACCACCGAGGTGTTCCGTGTTAAAAAAGTGCAACAAATTTCACCAGCGATCTATCTGCTCGAGGATTATCGCGGTGAACCTATAGCCGGTGGATTCTACGAGTTGCACGCGGTTAAACATCTGGACATGTAACTCGTAGAAAAGGTTCTGCGTCGCCGCGGCAACGAGGTGTTGGTCAAGTGGTTGAGACTAAACAATTCACACAATTCTTGGATAAATAAGAAAAATGTGTTCTAATATTATTATTATTATTACGCTATGTGTACTCTCTTTAATTCTTATATTTACAAAGTAGTACATATGTATTCTTTTATACAATAAAAACAATTACATATACTACCATGATCAAAAAATAACCGGAATTTATTCATAAAAAGAAAAGTACATGTTTATTCTTCAAAATTCAAGTTGTCCCATTCAAAGTAGTCCCCGTCGGCTGCGATGCACTTGTGCCAGCGTTTGATCCACCC